AAAAATGATACCAGGATGATACCTACAGCTGTAGGCGTAATCCTGGTATAACCATTCAAAGTCCAGGGATGTACCAGTATGTCGTTGACCCTTGTTGGGTATATATCCTATGTTCTTTTTTTTTTTTTTTTTTTTTTTTTGTATGCAGCTTGTGGACTGAATGAAAAAAAAAAAAAAAAAAAAAGAGAAGAAAAATCTGCCATAAAAAGTGTGTGGTATGCCCACTATTAGAATATACCGCCCTGCATCCACCCACTTCTTATGGTGACCACACATTAGGCCACATGCACCAGTTCCAAGACTGTACAAATATCTAAATAGTGGCATGCTTGAATAAAAATTGTCCACGTATAAGTGGTCCCCTATATGGAAAAAGAATGACACCAAGTCCCAAACTATCTAGCCACTGCTCCCCATGTAGTCTGAGCATCCGGGGGGCTCTACGTGACTATCTTTTCCGTCATAAATCCGAAACTTATATGTATAGCATGTTGCCCTCTCACAGGTCTTCTGCATCTTGACCCCATATCTGGCACGCTTGCTGGGGACATATTGTTTGAATGCAAGGCGGTCAGAAAAATTAATGAGGGACTCATCAACACAGATTTTTTGCTGGGGAGTATAGACATCTGCAAATTTTTGGTTAAGGTGATTTACGAGGGGCTGAATTTTGTGGAGCCGGTCAAATTCAGGGTCACCCCGAAGACGACAGAGTGTATCGTCGTTGAAATGCACAAAACACATTATACTCTCATATCTATGCCTGGCCATGGCAGCAAAGAACACGGGTATATGATGAATCGGGTCTGTGGACCAATAGAACAGCAATTAATGTTTTTTAAGTAATGCCCATGTTGAGGGTTAGGCCCAAACAAAATTTAACCGTAATGGGTTTCCATGCGAATGGTCTGGCAAGGTTTGAATTTGGGTTGGCGGCGATAATTGTGCATATAAAATGATCCACAATCATTCCATACAGATATTCTGTGAAAAACAGCTCCACAAAATAAAGAGTAGTTAAATTTACTGTTTCCACCTGAATTTCAGGTTGGGCAGTGGATGGGGGAAGTAAGGGCACTGTAGAATTTGTGGGCTGCCAATCAGGATTTGCAAGCACATCTGGAAGGATACTAGGGGCTCTACAGGCCTGTGTGCGAATTCTTGGTGGTTGCGGGACAATACTTGTGCTCTCCACCGCGCCAGCTTGTACTACACTTATGGGACTCGCCACGTCACCAAGTGATACTGCAGTGCTGGTATGTGAAAGACCAGGATGTACTAGGCCACTAGTGCTCGACAGTTCACCAAAAGGTAGCGCGGCACTAGTACTGGCACTCTGCTACATATGAGAGTCATCAAAATTTACTGGCAAGTGCTAACAGAGATCGGGCCTGATTCTGCCAACACTGCGGTTTTTGTGTGCAATGTATAGAGTGACAGTGACCTACTGACACTGCACTTGTTGGGGGGGGGGGGTAAGTGTAGGGGCTAAAAGCAGGGTCTGGCAGGTGCCGGGGTTGATCCCTCTAAAGCTGCGTTTTTGGGGACGCTATACTAATGTGATCGCTGGTATAGATATTGATCCGTTCAGACACTATACTAGCAACGGAGGTTTGTTGTGTATGATCGTCTCCTTCCTAGCAATCAAGGGGTTAAATGTGATTACTGGTGTACTGATGGGCAACCTGATGCTATCTGGGAGGGGCATGAAAACCACGGGAACACGAATCACGTATATTATATGTGATTTTGCGCACCTGTGTCGCCCTGTGCACCAAAATGAAATTTACGTCCTTTTTCCCCCACGAATTGAGCTTTCTTTTGGTGGTACTTGATCGCCTGTGCGTTTTTTTTGTGCTAAAAAAAAAAAAAAAAAAAGACCGACAATTTTGAGAAATAAAAAATATTTTGGACTTTTTGCTATAAAGCATGTCAAGTAAAAAAAAATTTAAAAATCAAATTTCATCAATTTTAGGCAAAGATGTATTCTGTGACATGTCTTTGCTAAAAAAAAAAAATCCAGATACGTGTAAATTAATTGGTTTACGTTAAAGTATCTACAAATGGCGGTATATATACTGGAATTTTAATTTTTTTAATTTTTTATTTTATACTAATAATGGCAGGATCAGCGACTAATGGCGGCGATCAACAACTTATAGCGGGACTGCGGCGGACATTCTGACACTGGGGGGGAACCGACTTGGGGTCATTGACATCCCCAGTGACACTAATACAGTGATCAGTGTAAAAAAAAAAAAAAAAAAACAAAACACTGACACTGTACTAATGGCACTGGGGAGGAAGGGGTTAACATTTGGAGGCAAGCAAAGGGTTAACTGTGTGAGGGGAGTATTTCACTAGGGGGGGGTGTACTTCACAGTAAAAACACTGATCCGGAAAGCTGAGCTCAGCTATCCGGTTCAGTGTGCTCAAACTGACAGGGAGGAGAGCTGCAGCCGTCCTCCCTGTCAGTGTTTGCAGGTAATCGCCGTGCTTCTGCGGGTAATAACAGGCCGGGACCCGGTGATTGACACCCGCGGCAGCGATCGGCGGCGCAGGTAGGGCGGCCGCGCACGTCCCCTACCCGAAATGCAAAATCATGTATATATACACGTGATTTTGCACAGCGGTGCCACCCCTGCCACAGTATATGTACTGTGGCTGGTTGGCAACCAGTTAATCAACACCAGTTTTATTTTCTGCTAAACAAATGAAAAAAAGACAAAAAGTTTTGAAAAAAAAAAAAAGTTTTTCTTTGTTTCTATTACAAAATTTTGCAAACGGGTAATTTTTTTCATTCACTGATGTGGCTGCACTGATAGGCAGCACTAATGGGCACTGACTGGCACAGATTAGCAAAACTGCTGGGCACTGATGGGCAGCACTGATCAGTGTAAAGGTCTCCTTTCACAGTTGCCAGTTATCAGCAGTACTTTCCTTACTCTGTGGTACTTTGAGGAAAGTATCTAGATAACTGGCAAGTGTATTTACATGGTGATCAGCTGTGACTGGACACAGCTGATCACGTGGTAAAGAGCCATTGTGATTCACCCTTTTTACCATGTCATGTGATCAGCTGCGTCCAAAGGACAGAGCGATCACAGAGAGAGTTGGGTGCACGCTGCTGCAGGCGCGTTCTGGAGGACATCATACGATGCTCTCCCATAACTGGACAACCATGCTGTAGCCGTCATTCGGTGATAGCACAGTCAAGAAGTGGTTAATTAACCAGCAACTACAGGACACAGCTACAGATTGCAAAGCAGGCAAGCAATTACGGATGTCAGTTCAGACATCTCACAAAAACAAAACATACAAACAAAAACACATGACTGCTGATCGCTCAGTTCCTGGTCTTCACTGAGCAGAGAGCGTTGACGGTCAGGCATCGGGCTCTCTGCTCTGTTACTCCAGTGGGAGTTTGGACTGACTCAGTACCCCACTGTCACCAGAATCTGGGTCACACGAGTGCAGATATAAGTGCAATCCCGCGACCCACATGAGAAGTATGGCAAAAAAATATTAAGTCAAACTTCTTTAAATCTAGCAAAATTTCCATTAACAAAAGGATTCCCAAAGATTTCACTTTTTTGATTCTTTTTTAACAGGTATCCTCTTCAACTTCCTCAGTCCTGGACTAGGTGAGGATGACATCAGTTTGGCCCTCCATCCCCCAAGCCTGCAGCCTTCTGGTACACGTCACACATCTCACACAAGTGCAGTGGGAAGCAGGCTATGAGACATTAGTAAATCACAGCTGGCGCTCATCCATTCATAATAGCCGCACTGGGGATCTAAATCCTGGTGAAAAATCAGTTCCGGTGAAGACAGCGTCAGGACTCCATGGGCTGGTAAGTACCGGTTTCAAAAAAGTCAGTAGCTACAGTATTTGTAGCTGCTTTTTAATTTTTAAGAACACGAGGGAAGTTCCTCTTTAACCACTTGCCTACCGGGCACGTATGCCCCCTTCTTTACCAGGCCAATTTTCAGCGCTGTCGCACTTTGATTGACAATTGCGTGGTCATGCAAGATTGTACCCATATGAAATTTTTAGCATTTTTTTCTCACAAATAGAGCTTTCCTTTGGTGGTATTTAATCACTGCTGGGCACTTTATTTTTTGTGCTATAAACAAAAAAATTGCAAAAAATTTGAAACAAAACAAAAAAATTATAAAATTTTTCAAAAAGGTATTTTTTTCTCCTTCACTGATGTGTGTTGATGAGGCAGCACTGATGGGCACTAATAGGCGGCACTGATGGGCAGCACTAATGAGGTGGCACGGATAGGCGGCACTAATAGGCGGCACTGATAGCACTGATAGGTGGCACTGACTGGCATCACTGCTGGGCACTGACTGGCAGCACTGCTAGGCTTTGACTGGCGCAACTGCTGGGCACTGACTGGTGGCACTGACTGGCAGCACTGCTGGGCTTCACTGATGGGTGGCACTGCTGGGCACAGGTGGGTGGGCACAGGTAGGTGGCACTTCTGAGCACAGGTAGGTGGCACTTCTGAGCACAGGTAGGTGCACTGGGCACAGGAGGGTGCACTGCTGGGCACAGGTGGGTGGCACTGCTGGGCACTGATCATCAGTGCCCTGATGATCGGTGCTGATCCCTGCTCTGACAACTGCCGCTGTCAGAGCGTGAGGAAAGTACTGAAGTACTAAAGCAGCAGAGAACCCGCAATTGCATTTCCCAGTGATCAGCGCGTCATTGGACACGGCTGATCACGTGGTAAAAGGCCGCTGTGATTGGCCTTTTACCACATCATGTGATCAGCTGTATCCCTAGGACACAGCGATCACAGGGATTGCCGGGTGCGCACCCCGGGGGCGCGCAGGAGAGCGCGTTCTGGGAGGACGTCTTATGATGCCCTCCCAGAACTGGCCGGCCGCAGTGTAGCCGTCATTCGGCTATCTGCGTTTGGCAAGTAGTTAACACAAAAACACAGTACAGAAAATACAAATAGCATAATAAAAGTAAAAAGCAATACCTTCTGTGTTTCTGGGTCTATTAACCAATTCCATGCGCCAGTTGCAGTACAAACAGAAACCACAATAAGAATCACTAAAAAAGGTAAAGAGATAAAAGTTATACATACCAAAAACTTCCATTCCAGAACAATCCTAAGATGTCTATGCCGCCTGGATAGGCAAGTAAATTAACCCTTAAAGTGGAAGTTCAGTCAACACTAACTATACCTAAATCTACTCCCACCCCCATTCTAAGCCAATTCTGTCTACCCTGTGAAAGGAAGGATGTTTAAGAGGGTGCTCAGGTCCAGTCACATGATGGGGTCCCAGCACCAGATTCATTGTAGAAGAGAGGCAGCAAACAACCGATGCCCCATGGTAAGCCTATGGGTGACATCAGTGATCTCTTCCCCTTCACTAAAACTGATGCTAAGACCTGATCATGTGACTGGACTGGAGCACCTTCAGCATAGGTAAGTATACATTTTTTTTTCTTTCACAGGGTAGATAGAATAAGCTTAGAATAGAGGTGGCAGTAGATTTAAGTATAGTTGGGGTTTGACTGAACTCCCACTTTAAGTATATCTGTTATGAAAATAGTACATACATCAATAGTATGCATCAAAAAGCACTGGTGTAACACTCTTCCCTTGTCAAACTATAGCTTACAGATGCAACATAAACCCTAAAACCAAAAGGAACATGCATTATGATTCTAACTTTGCTTTGAGTTAGAGTTGTCCTTTACACTTTCTGTCCAAACTAGTAGGAAACATAATACTCGGATTTGTGCATTATTCTGACAAGCACCTAAAAACTGTTTTCACATACACAAGAATTGTATGAATTGACTAATCTTGGAATTAGAGTTCCCTGCTAAAATAGGACTGCATAATACACAAAGTGTACAAAACATGGACAACGCTACCAGAACTTACAGAAATTGCTAGAAGGGAGACTTTTTATTGCAAAAGAAACATGCTGGGGTATATTTACTAAAACTGGAGCACACAAAATCTGGTACAGCTGTGCATGGTAGCCAATCAGCTTCTGACTTCAGCTTCAATTAAGCTTTGGCAATAAAACCTGGAAGCTGAATGGTTTCTATGCAAAGCTGCACCAGATTTTGCACTCTCCAGTTTTAGTAAATCAACCCCGCTATGTCTTTGCAATAAATGCTTTTTACCTGCCTATAAGTATATTGAGACATGCTCTTTCAGGCAAACACATAATCCACATTAACACCATCTAGCCAAAATCATCTGTTTTTGGATGCACTGTTAGAAAGAAAGAGTTGTGTTCCACAAAGTTTGAGGGAATGTATTAATAATTTAGGTACGTCTACTAATGGTTTGCTTTTAAGTGCTTTACAGAAAAAACTGCATATACAGTGAGGAACAGCAGTATTTGAACACCCTGCGATTTTGCAAGTTCTCCCACTTAGAAATTATGGAGGGGTCTGAAATTCACATTGTAGGTGCATTCCCACTGTGAGAGATAGAATTAAAAAAAAAATTCAGGAAATCACATTGTATGCTTTTTAAGAATTTATGTGTCTTGTACTGCTGAACATAAGTATCTGAACACCTAAGAAACAGCAAGAATTGTGGCTCTCAAAGACCTGTTACTGTGCCTTTAAAAAGTCCACCTCTACTCCACTCATTAATCTAACTTAGTAGCACCTGTCTGAGCTCTTTAAAGACACCTGTCCACCCCACAGTCAGTCAGACGCCAACTACTACCATGGGCAAGACCAAAGAGCTGTCAAAAGACACCAGAGACAAAATTGTGGACCTCCACAAGGCTGGAAAGTGCTACGGGGCAATTGCCAAGCAGCTTGGTGAAAATAGATCAACTGTTGGAGCAATTGTTAGAAAATGGAAGAAGCTAAAGATGACTGTCAGTCTCCCTTGGACTGGGGCTCCATGCAAGATCTCACCTCGTGGGGTATCACTGATAAGAAAGGTGAGGAATCAGCCCAGAACTACAAGGGAGGAGCTGGTCAATGACATGAAGAGAGCTGGGACCACAGTTTCAAATGTCACTGTCGGTAGAACACTACGCCGTCATGGTTTCAAATCATGTATTGCACGGAAGGTTCCCCTGCTCAAGCCATCACATGTCCAGGCCCGTCTGAAGTTTGCCAATGACCATCTGGATGATCCAGAGGAGGCATGGGAGAAAGTGATGTGGTCAGGTGAGACCAAAGTAGAACTTTTTGGTCCAAGCTTCACTCGTCGTGTTTGAAGAAAAAGAAGGATGCGTTGCATCCCAAGAACACCATCCCTACTGTGAAGCATGGGGGTGGTAACATCATGCTTTGGGGGTGCATTTCTGCGAAGGGGACAGGACGACTGCACTGTATTAAGGAGAGGATGAATGGGGCCAGTTATTGTGAGATTTTGAGCATCAACCTCCTTCCCTTAGTCAGAGCATTGAAGATGGGTCGTGGCTGGGTCTTCCAACATGACGACCCGAAGCACACAGCCAGGATAACCAAGGAGTGGCTCCGTAAGAAGCATATCAAGGTTCTGGAGTGGCCTGGCCAGTCTCCAGACCTAAATCCAATAGAACATCTTTGGAGGGAGCTGAAACTCCGTATTGCTCAGCGACAGCCCCGAAACCTGCCAGATCTAGAGGAGATCTGTGTGGAGGAGTGGGCCAAAATCCCTGTTGCAGTGTGTGCAAACCTGGTCAAGAACTACAGGAAACGTTTGACCTCTGTAATTGCAAACAAAGGCCTCTGTACCAAATATTAACACTGATTTTCTCAGGTGTTCAAATACTTATGTTCAGCAGTGCAAGACAAATAAATTCTTTAAAAATCATACAATGTGATTTCCTGATATTTTTTTTTTTAAATTCTGTCTCTCAGAGTGGGAATGCACCTACAATGTGAATTTCAGACCCCTCCATAATTTCTAAGTGGGAGAACCTGCAAAGTCGCAGGGTGTTCAAATACTTCTGTTCCTCACTGTAGGTGCAAATTCTCTGTCTAAATATAACAAAATTTGAAACTGACTAAATTATACACAAATATCTTTTCCAGTAAAGATAGAGGTTTCCCCTCTCACTACCAACTCACAACCCTCCCTAAAGATCAATACAGCCGCCTATCACAATACAGAACCAAAAAAAGAGCTTATCAAGGTGGGGAAGGGTAAAAACACTTCTTGAGGCTTGAAAGGCTCAAGGGCTGGCTGTGGCCCCTTTGGGAAGTTTTCCCTTCACTTTCTGTTCCAGCTGGAGGCCAGCACATGTACAAATAACCAAAGGAATGAGGAGGGCTTTGGGGCACATGCACAGTATGAAAAAGGATGAAAAGATAGCCAGGACCGTGCTAGGAAAGATCACTGGATTGGGGAGGAAGTTCAGTATTATCCCAGGTGGGCTGTACACAGGGGGATTAGGAGGAGTTTTGAAATGACAACTTCACTGATAATGTGGTTTCATACTACCATTAATGTCCTGGTATTCAAGCAAGCTCAGATCTGCCACTGCAGCTGTGAACTTCGTACCACTTCTTAAAGCTGGCAAAGGGCTTTCAGGTAAATATGATCACTTTTAAAGGGCTCTATAGTGAATATAAAACATCTACTCACCCCTGTTAAAATGTCAGGTTTCTGTAATGTAAAAAAATTAGACAAAGAGAAATAGTTTCAGAGCTTTTTCCACCATTAAATGTGACCAATAAACTGTACAACTCAGTTGAACAACAAACTGAGATCTTTTAGGTGGAGGGAAGTAAAAATAAAAAACTAAAATAGTATGATTGTATAAGTGTGCACACCCTTAAACTAACACTTTGTTGAAGCAGCTTTTGATTCCAGCACTCAGTCTTTTTGGGCACGAGTCTATGAGTATGGTACACCTTGGACTGGCAATATTTGCCCACTCTTGCTTGCAAAATTACTCCAAATCTGTCAGACTGCAAGGGTATCTCCTGCGCACAGCCCTCTTGAGATCACCCCACAGATTTTCCATCGGATTCAGGTCAGAGCGGCTGGGCCACTCCCAAAACTTTAATCTCCTTCTGGTGAAGCCATTCCTTTGTTGATTTGGATGTATGCTTTTGGCTCATTGCCATGTTGAAAGATGAAGTTCCTCTTCATATTCAGCTTTCTAGCAGAAGCCTGAAGGTTTTGTGCCAATATTGACTGGTATCTGGAACTGTTCATTCCCTCTACCTTGACTAAGGCCCCTGTCAGGGATCCCGGGTCCTCGGCGGCGCGCGCATGCGCAGACCGCCGATCCGTCCCAGCCGGCGAGCGCAGAGTCCTCGGCGATCGCGGCGGCGCGCATGCGCAGTAGCGATCGCGGCCGCACCAATGGGAGAGCAGGGCGCCCTATTTAAAGCTGCCCTGTGCATCTCCAAGTTGCTGCAAGGTCTTGTTCCTGTCCTGTAAGTACGCTTCCTTGTTGCCAAACTCTGCCTGTTCTGTTTATGCTGACCTTCTCCTGCTCTGACCCCGGCTCGTCCCTGACCATCCTTCTGCCTGACCCTCTGTACCGCGCTGCCCGCTACCTGCTGAACCTGGCTTGTGACCCCGACCATTCTCCGCTTACTCCCCCTGTACCACGCTGCCCGCACAATACCGACCCGGCTAGTCTGACCTCTCCTGATAGTTGCCCATCCATCCCGCTCGGATCGGGATCTGTCATCCCATCCATCCCGCTCGGATCGGGATCTGTCATCATCCATCCATCCCTCTCGGATCGGGATCTGTCGTCCCCTTCACAGCAGGCTCAACCCGGGCACATACCCTCAGCGGGACCCCTCTGCCGCCGCCGGGGGTGCCCAGGGACGCGACCTGGTTTCAGTCTTGCACCAAGTCCATCCCCACCATCAGGGGCCCTGGTGAAAAGGCAGACTGGGACTTAGACTCCGCGTCCTGGGAAACCCCGTGCCGTGGACCACTAGAGATCCCGTTGGGCGGAGCCTGACAGTACCTTGCGGCCATGACTGAGCCTGGAAGGGGAACTTCCCCTCTGGACGACATCTGCCAACAGATGGAGACCCTTACACTGGGAATTAGGGGCCTACAGGAAGGTTATACGGTATTGGACAGACGCATGCAGACCTTAGCTACCTCT